GACTGCGGCTCCGAATCAGGAACACAGGAAACCGCCGATTGCGGCTCCGAATCCGGAACAGAGGAAACCGCCGACTGCAGCTCCGAATCCGGAACAGAGGAAACCGCCCGTTGCGGCTCCACGTACAGGAGCGAAGAGGGCTTAAAGGTCCATGGACGGTGCAGAGAGGACAATAGACGGCTCCTAGCTGACTCTCGACGGCTCAGAGCGGGCTCAGGGGTCTCCAGATGGCTCAGAGCGGGCTCAGGGGTCTCCAGACGGCTCAGAGCAGGCTCAGGGGTCTCCAGAGGGCTCAGAGCGGGCTCAACGTACAGGAACGAAGAGGGCTTAAAGGTCCTTGGACGGTGCAGAGAGGACTCTAGACGGCTCCTACATTCCTGCATTTCGCGCCTCCACTCCGCTTGATGTCGACGCCACGCCACCCACCACGGTGGTGGTGTCGAACCAATCCATCCGACCGCAAACTCCCCCAGGAGTACGTCGAAGGAGTCTGCTGGGCTAGTCTGTTGGCCGGATTGTTCTGTCATGATCAGGCAGGATTACTAGCCCAAATGCAGAACTCTCAGAAACAGAGGCAGGATAAAAGTCCAATAGATTATTGGATAACAGACAGGGGTCCTCCTGGAGAAGCAGAGAGGACAAAGCAGGTTAGGTTTAGGTTTACAGGGTCAGACAGGCAGGCTGGCTCAGGCTTGCTAACCATAACTAGTTCAACAATCCGGCTCAGAGTGAAGCTCCCCTCCAGCTTATGTAGGGAGAGGAGAGCTTAATGAGCAGATGGGGATCAGCTGTTTCAAGTGAGCACCAGCTCTCAGGAGAGGATCCACGGCGCCCTCTGGTGGGCAAGCATCTGGATCCCAACCGACAACAGAAGCCCACAGAAAGGGATCCATGTCGCCCTCTGGAGGGCAGACCTCTGGATCCCAACAGACAACAGAAGCCCTCAGAAAGGGATCCACATCGCCCTCTGGAGGGCAGACCTCTGGATCCCAACAGACAACAGAAGCCCACAGAAAGGGATCCACGTCGCCCTCTGGAGGGCAGACCTCTGGATCCCAACAGAGACAGCCAAACTTCTTAAACATTTAAAACTCAAAGGTGCATAAACCAAATCCAATAAAAACCAGAAATAGAACCTAAAGCTCTATAGAACCAAAAAATAGAACCAAAAACTATTTATAACTTGCATTTATATTCAGTGTCATGGTGGAAGTAAGACATGAACATCTGTTGAGGTCAAGATTCCAACTCGCAAAATTTTTTTTTTTAAGTTTCCAAATTCAAAATAACTTGCCTGCATACACACCATACTAAAAACTGCATTGTTATTTTGTTAGCAAAGCAACAAACAGGAAACTGTTGAGGTTCAGAGGTTTTGGAAACGAGAATTATATTGCACTCACAACTGAACAAAGCTCCTCTGTTGGGTCATTTGATCACTGCAATGCATCCACTCTTAGCAATGCATGCAAAGGGGGGATTTATATTAATCTTATTTAGGAGCATTCATCTAAAAACAGTTTGTACTGTGTGTCTTTTGGTTTAACGTGACACTGCACCAGAGGTGATAATTACTAGCCTTTAGCCATAAGTATTGCAACTTTGTACAGTAAGTGTCAGCAGCCTGCATAATATTACATTTCTATGTGAGAGTTACCACTTTGGTGCATTTTCTGTTGTGTTTCCAACTGTGACTATGAGCACAAAAAGAACTTACACATCTGAGTGCAACCAGAACAATGAACACGAGAGGCCCCAAATCTAACACTTACAAGAGCTGCCACATGTATAAAGGGGGACAATTGTGTTTTATTTAACCCCTGGCAATCACAGAGCTGTGCAGCCTTTGAGTTGGAACATGCTTTTTAAGTGTAGGTTTTCTGAACTAACAAAGGCATTAAGCAACTTCAGTTGGAAAACCATAATTTCTTATCAACTCACAACTTTGCTGCACTTGATTTCTCCTCAATGTACATGTAAGCTTACACTGCAAAAAAAAAGTAGAAGTAAGTAAATCTTTATTGAGTTGAGCATGTAATTGAAACACTTTACCACATAAACAGGACATTGTTCAATATAAAAAATGTAACAACTGCACTGAGTTATTTCAAATGCATAACTTATAATTATCTTTTTGTAAGCACAAAAATTCCATTGACAAATAATCTTAGTCACCTGCTCAGAGTAAGGGCAAACACACTTGTTTTAAGAACTTCTTACTTGTTTTCTGATCATTCTTGCAGTGTGGAATTATGCATACCTAAGCTGAGCATGTTCTAGTCACAAATTGAAGAAAAAATATACCAACAAAACACAGGGCTTAAATATTTTTTGCAGTCGATGTCATTGAACACAGGAGTTACACGTTCTCTCATAGATTCTGTTCAGTATGGTGTGTGCCACTTGCTTAATAAGATACAACCTGCCAGAAGTGCTAATACATATTTTATACCTCCAACTCCCACAATGTTTTATATGTGTGGCAGCAATATTAGATTTTGACCTCAGAGTTGCTCAGGGGTCCCCGACTCTCCAAGTTTTGTTTCAGATTTCAAGGGACTTTTTGTCATATTTTCTTACTGGAAATTTTGAAAGCCTCATCCGAGGTAGAATTATTATGGAGTCCTAGAACACACTTAACTTGAGGATGACATTATTGCCAGATCTGTAAATTCAGTGCAGCATTAAGACCTAGACCATTGAGAGGGATTATATCAAGTCAGAGTAATTGGAAGAACATAAAAAATAGGTTGACTTAACATTTCTACAGTTGTCTTTTTGAAAAAGTTAGGGGAACATTTTTGGATTAGGTACCTTGTTGATTTCTAAAACATAACAGATAGATGGGGAGGTTTAAATGCATTACATAAAACATGCTGCTTATAACCACTTCTAGCTGAATCACTCTTGTTTACTAAGTTTTTTTATTTTATTTACACAGACATTAATATCTAATGCTTTCAGTTTGCTTGTTTCCAGAACAGATCTAGGGTGATCACCTGGTAATTAATAAAGCTTTGTTGATATCGTCATATGGCAAGCCGATTTAACATAAATTCGGTTTCGTCTAACTATCCATAATTACATTCCAGATATCTTAAACTACTTTTTGACTAGACAAAACCACATTTTGACTATCCGGAACGGTAATTTAAGATATCTCTATTTACAATCTGATTAGGAAGAATAATAATTCAAGATATCTTAGATCACATTTTGACTAGTCAAAATTCCTTTCAAGATATCTCAAATTACGTCACCAGATTCGTCATTTAAAGCGTCACACATCGGCAATTATAATTTAAGATATCTCGAACGTAATTATGACTAGTCAGTACTACAATTTTAGATATCTGAAATAAGAGATTGCGTGTAAGCCTCTTATTGGCTGTACTAAGCTGTTCAAACAATTGCCTGAAGATTCAATGGCGCTGGCAGTTTTGGACAAAATTGTGAGAAAATGCCACAATATCGAAAGAGCTTTTCATTATGGGTTATGCGGGGAACTAGAAAAACGCGGTCTTGAAGAATGCTTCAGAAATTTGGAAAGAATTTCTGATCAACTTTCTGCCGACACACACAACGCACTTAAAAACGGCTTAGATGAGCTGAAAGTGCTAATGTCGACCCATGTCCGATCTGGAAACAATGAATATTCCGCAGCCCGGGCCGGTTCAGGTAATAACCAGATGCAGTTTTTAATACTGTGGTATAGCAATGGCAAGCCATTTTAACATAAATTCGGCTTGCCATAGTAAATCTTCCTCTTCGGAAATTATAGTAAAGCCAGCTAGCTCTTGATTTTAACATGCTAGACGGCACAAGGCATTACAGCACCCTCCTTGAGCTCCTCTGAAAATAAAAGCGCACCTCCGCTTCATGTCTGATTCACACTTACATTTTTTTAAATTTTACTTTTATTTAAACAAATTCAAAATACTATTTCAAACAGCAGAAAAGTACAATTGAACAGATGCAATCCATAACGGCTTTTAAAAGATAAAAACAACAATATACACTTAAACAGACAATTAAAAAGAACCAGAAGGAAAAAATAGAAATAGAAAAACAAAATAAAACAAGTAACACAGGGGTTTAGCTGAAGTATACTGCTATAAAATCTGAAAACCTGAAGGATTTCTTATTTTCCAGTAACTTAATTGAGTCATGAAAACGTTTTCCTTGGAAATTGGGAGACATTTTAAAGAATCTGCACTTGTGAATAAATCTTTTTCTGATAATGAATACAACATTACATTAAAATTCCAAATTTCTGTCTTTTTATTTAGGAATCAAATTTTTTGGTGATAACCAATCATGAATCTTTTCCCAAAAACCTCACAGTTTTGACTCACTCATCCAAACCACACAACTGTAAAAAAGATGTTCTTGTGTTTCTAAGTCTTTGTAACAAAAGCTACATATACCAACAGCAAATTTAAATCATAAACTTAAGAGCTCTGCACAGGGATAGTCATTTTTAACTTCGATCTCTGAAAACACGTTTAAAGATAAATTCCTCTTAACTGGGAGAGGGAAACTTTTATTTATATGTTCTCGTATCATTTTGTTACTGAATTTGAGATCCGTGAAATTGTATTTATCTAACAGAAGAGTGGGGAAGATCGTTGCTACATCAGAATATTGAATCATTCCTTTGACCAAATTTATCATGGTTACCAGAATAGCCTTGATCAAAGATATAGTCTTTGTGGGCAAAATAAATTACATTTTCTTTTAAATTCTGTGTATTCTAGAATATCACCTTTTATGTCCATTACATGTATGATTCACACTTTGTTGCTGTAAAGGTTTAAAGCTTTGTGTTTATGCAATTGCAATAGAAAAATATGTATATAGAAATAAATGTATACATTGTGTGAAATGCAGTGTCACCCTTAGAAGAAACAGGAACACACTTCTAGAGGATATACAGATATAAACAGATGTAAAAGTAAACATTATTCTGATACATTTGAATATGATTCTGTTTTAGGTGGTCGAGGTAGACCAGCTATTCATATTACAAGAGAGCAGATCGACTTTCTTTTGGCCCAAGGACACACGGTCAAGACGATGGCAAACATCTTTGGATGCTCAACATCTTTTCTTTATAAGAAGTCCAAGGCACTCGGTGTACCAATCAGGGGAAGGTTAGCTGCAGTGACTGATGAAGACCTTGAAACTAACATCAGACAACTTCAATCCCTGTACCCAAATTCTGGGACTGAGGTATGGAATCTAAATATATGGTTTCTGAACAATATGTTCAACAGTGGTATTGCAGGATACTAATTATATTATTTAATGTCAAGTGTCACAAATAATAAGACAATCATTTATCTTATGACCACATGTGAAATCTGAAACCTATTTTTAAAAGATTACTTTCAAAATGTTAAATTGTGAGGTGGTTCAAAATTGTAAGACCACATCCTTCCTTGAACCAGATGATGCGAGGCTTGTTGCATGCACAAGGACTACTGGTTCCACGGCGTAAGGTCAGAGACATGATGGCTCGAATCAACCCAATGGCTACTGCAAGGAGGTGGAGCAGTGCAGTGTCTCGACGTGTCTATCACGTGCCGTATCCCAACAGTTTATGGCATATTGATGGCAACATGCGTCTCATAAGGTATCTGAAAATATCATAGAAGTATTTCAGAGTCGATGTCTTAGAACTAAATTCAATATACACATTTGCATACATTATTCCTTATACATTTTTTGTATTTCCATTTAGGTGGGGCTTTGTGGTCCATGGTGGCATCGATGGATGTTCTCGCCTAATTACTTACTTGAACTGCAGCACAGACAATTGCGCCTCAACAGTGCTATTTCATTTTCTCAAGGCAACAGGCCTCTATGGCTTACCTTCTAGAGTGAGGTCAGATCATGGTGGCGAGAACATGCAAGTTGCACTGGTGATGAACCTCCTTCAGGGCATTGAACGTCGGAGTCATATAACTGGGGAATCCATCCATAATCAGAGAATTGAGCGTCTTTGGAGGGATGTTTTTTTACATGTTCTGGAACCATTTTATAGTACGTTTTATAATCTTGAAGATTCAGCCCTCTTGGATCCTAGCAACGATGTGCACAAACTTTCCCTTCATACAGTTTTTCTTCCTGAGATTCAAAGCCGACTAGAACAATTTAGAAACGCATGGAATCACCATTCCTTGCGTACAGAAAACAATAAAACACCAACACAAATCTGGACTGAACGGATGTTGGCAAACATGGGTGCCAACAGCACAGCAACAAACAACGTGTTTGGTGAAAATTCCAACACACCAGAGACTCTTGAAGAACTTCTGCAAACAGCATGGCCTTGGGCCGCTAAGAACCACTGATGCTGAAGAGCTTCCTAGTGTAGTTGTAGAACCACCCCAAACCAGGCTCAGTCAGCGGCAACTTCAAGCTGTTAATCTTGCAGTCAATCATATTTCAGATCTGAAGGAGAAATACCAGGCTTGTTGTGCAGAAATTGCAAATGCTTTATTGATTTAAGTACATGTCACCATGTTTGAGTGAAAATCATCTAGAACATACTGTATGATGCATTGTTATTAAGATGCAATAACTACAAATAAAACTCATATACTCAAAAACCCTGAGACATTTTTTTTTGCAGTGTGGCTCAAACATCCACCTTTAAATTGTGAAACCATAAAGTGATTAATAAGAGATCTATTTGCAAAAATAAGAAAAATAATAAGTGCAATTATTGAATTTACATTTCAATGTTTTCCAAGTTTGGCCATTACATTAACTGTACAATAATACTGTAACTTGCTTTAAAACAATTAACTTTTGAAAACATTTCAACTTTTTTTTTCTTTTCTTAAAATAACTGCTTATTAGCTGATTATGCAACACCAAAGGTAGGTGCCTGCAGCACCCCGTCGGTCATGTACTTTGTGAAAGACTCATAGTCCGAGTGTACAGGAAGCCGGAGTACTATAAGGCAAGTATTTGCTTCTGGGAAGACTTTGTTAGCCTCATGGAGGAATTCAATTTGTGGACGATGGGGAAAGCCCAGTGGAGGTACCTTGGATGCTCCAGAAGCAAACTCCAGAAGCATTTCAAGAGTCATGGGACTGCATTCTCCTTCTGAAAGACAAAATGTTGAAATTATGACCTTTGTTATAAGGTTTCCAGTGTGTACTCTTAACGACATGGAAGAAAATGTGTTAAAATCCTTTGTTCGTTCCTCCTCCAACTTGTTATATTGGTGATGACAATGCATCTATTGTTCGTAAATATAAAAAACATTTTGAAGACAAATCATGACCAAGTATGATCATAGTAAATAGTAAGTAAAAGTATGCATTTATGCAACAAATTACCCAATAGATATTCACTGGTACAAGACTATTTCTATGGCAGCTTAACAAAAAAATTTCAGGAAAGATTTTTCTAGTAATTTTACCATTTTTGGTCCTGTCACTAGCCATTTAAAAAGTCTGCATCTATACTATGATTACCTCATTTTCACGACTATAAGACGCATATAAACGTCTTTTTTTCCCCTCAAAATGTGTGGCGCGCTCTATAGTGCGGTGCGCCTTATGTGTGTTAAATACAGTAAAGGCAAACATGACTGAGACTGCGCCTTTTAGTACGGTGCGCCTTATGGTCGTGAAAACACGGTACTTCTTTTTGGACAGTGGTGACGAATCAGTCAAAATGTATTTGATACCGATTTTGTTTACAATATCACAATAAATGTACCTTCAATATCCACCAACCAGTCTCTCCAGTAGCATATGGTTAGATTTTCTATCCTCCTTTTATTGCTGCCTTGCACAGAAAAACACACTTGGAAAAGTGTGTACAGGTCCCGTGCCAAGAGTGGTTTCTCCTCACAGACAAACAATTCATGAAAGACTGCAGGGTTTTTCTGAATCTCGTCCAGCACATTCAGACTCTTCAAACCTTCCATAAACCTTTAAGAAATGAGAATAAGGTCTTACTTTTATAATAGAAGAATTCTAACAGAAAAAAGAAAAATTAGGATCTTGCTTACTGTTGCAACGCAGCGCACACTCGACCATTTACAAAGAAGTCTGCAGCAGATTGCACGAGGGAGTCCCTCTCTTCCAGAGTAGTTACACGCCTTAATGCTCCAATAATGCTCAAGGTACACTATATTGCCAAAAGTATTTGCTCACCTGCCTTGACTCACATATGAGCTTAAGTGACATCCCGTTCCTAATCCATAGGGTTCAATATGACGTCGGTCCACCCTTTGCAGCTAGAACAGCTTCAACTCTTCTGGGAAGGCTGTCCACAAGGTTTAGGAGTGTGTTTATGGGAATTTTTGACCATTCTTCCAGAAGCGCATTTGTGAGGTCGCACACTGATGTTGGACGAGAAGGCCTGGCTCTCAGTCTCCGCTCTAATTCATCCCAAAGGTGTTCTATCGGGTTGAGGTCAGGACTCTGTGCAGGCCAGTCAAGTTCATCCACACCAGACTCTGTCATCCATGTCTTTATGGACCTTGCTTTGTGCACTGGTGCACAGTCATGTTGGAAGAGGAAGGGGCCAGCTCCAAACTGTTCCCACAAAGTTGGGAGCATGGAATTGTCCAAAATGTCTTGGTATGCTGAAGCATTCAGAGTTCCTTTCACTGGAACTAAGGGGCCAAGCCCAGCTCCTGAAAAACAACCCCACACCATAATCCCCCCTCCACCAAACTTTACACTTGGCACAATGCAGTCAGACAAGTACCGTTCTCCTGGCAACCGCCAAACCCAGACCCGTCCATCAGATTGCCAGATGGAGAAGCGCGATTCGTCACTCCAGAGAACGCGTCTCCACTGCTCTAGAGTCCAGTGGCGGCGTGCTTTACACCACCGCATCCGACGCTTTGCATTGCACTTGGTGATGTATGGCTTGGATGCAGCTGCTCGACCATGGAAACCCATTCCATGAAGCTCTCTGCGCACTGTTCTTGAGCTAATCTGAAGGCCACATGAAGTTTGGAGGTCTGTAGTGATTGACTCTGCAGAAAGTTGGCGACCTCTTCGCACTATGCGTGTCAGCATCCGCTGACCCCGCTCCGTCAGTTTACGTGGCCTACCACTTCGTGGCTGAGTTGCTGTCGTTCCCAAACACTTCCATTTTCTTATAATACAGCTGACAGTTGACTGTGGAATATTTAGGAGCGAGGAAATTTCACGACTGGATTTGTTGCACAGGTGGCATCCTATCACAGTTCCACGCTGGAATTCACTGAGCTCCTGAGAGCGACCCATTCTTTCACAAATGTTTGTAAAAACAGTCTGCATGCCTAGGTGCTTGAATTTATACACCTGTGGCCATGGAAGTGATTGGAACACCTGATTCCAATAATTTGGATGGGTGAGCAAATACTTTTGGCAATATAGTGTATCTGCAGCCTGCATAATGGCTTCGTTTGCTTCCACAACTGTGTTTGCATCCTTAATCTAAAAAGAAATCAAAAAGGTTGTGAAACTGAATTTAAGCCATTTATCAATGTCCAAAACTCTTAAAATTGATACTAACTTCGATCAACTGCTGTCTGAAAGAATGGTTAACAACTTCCTCAACCAGGGTAGGTTTAGACAATGTGCCACAAATGTGGTCATACAGCCTTTGAGAGAAGAAGTGTGGTCCAATGCCTCCATGCACCAAACAGACTGATATCATTTTTCCAATACAGCTGTACATCTTTAACTCCAGCGCTGAAGGAGGGGGAAAAAAAAAAAAAAAAAAGTTACTTGACAATTTTCTATCCTTAACAATTGGGTGGGAAAAAAAAAAAATACTGACCACTTGTGTTCAAAGCTAGATGGCGGTCATTCTCATGCCCCTCAAAGACATTTGATTGATGAATGGCCCTCATTAAAAGTCGTAGATATTCTCGTGTGGGACCACCTTCATCAACTGCCCCTTCAGCGGTGTCCTCTTCATCCACAAAAACAACATCCAGTTTTGCTGCTGGATCAAAACGGCGTCTTCTGAAGGCATGCAGGCTACATTCTAAAATCCTGTCCCTGCACACATTTATTTGGTTGCTTGTAGGACAGGAAGTCATATCAACCTTGCTGTATAGTTTTGCTAATATAGTCTGAAGATCTGTTCTGTAAAAAGAAGATATATCTTATTATGTATTGTTAGAGTAAACAATGGTTTGCAACTGTCAAAATTGATTACACAAGACACTGCTAGAATATGCAGTTTTGACTCACTCATCCAAAGGCAACTCTGGTGGATGTTGAGAATCAGGTGGCTCTTCATCTTCCAGTAAAATTATAGTTTGCTCAGTTAATGGAGAAGTTGGTGCCTGGTCCTCAATGGTAATCACCTGTGGAGTCAGGGTAGAGTGGGGGGAGAGGGGCAGCCTTGAGGTTGCAACCAAAGAAACTTCTGAAGACAGCAAATCTGGTTGTACTTGAGTGGAGGGGTGGAACACAGGCGACTGGGAGGAGAATGAAGTTGATGTTTCTAAGGAGTTAGGCATGGTCGACAGCCATTGAGGAGATGTTGGGGCCAGTGGTGACTGGGCTGACAAAGATGTCTGTGCTTGCTGAGACAGCGACTGTTCCTGCACTACATTCGCCTGAACTGGATACCTTTCCTAAGCAAAATAAAACAAAAAACTAATCACGTCAATGTCAATTTGTTGTTTACAAACATCTTTATCTAGAGGCAATATTTGTCGCTTGTAGTTAATGAAGAGAAAACTTTAAAATCAAAACCCAATCTTGATTACACTGGAAAAAAAACAATCCTATTAAATGGCAATAGCAATATTAAGATTTTTAAAAATTGTGATTAGATAATTTTCTAAAATCATTCAGCCCTAATCTAATTTTTAAAGGTAGGTTGTTCAAAAAATTAGGAGTAGTGACAGCGAATGCTGCTCCTATTCACTGTCAGTCTGGTCCAAGGAATCTGTAAGAGCAATTTATTATTTGACTGAAGTGTTCTAGTACTGGAATGTTCATAAAGAAGGTCTTTAAGATAAACAGAAGCAAGGCTATGTAAAGTTTTAAAAACCAATAAAAGACTTAAAATCAATCCGATAACCATCTAGTAACCAATGCAGAGAAACTGATCGTTGAGTTATACACTCTTGTTTCTGAGATCCAGTCAAAAGTCTAGTTGCAGAATTTTTAAACATTTTGGGAGAAAAAAGAAAAAATACCAAGATGACATTTTATGGGATTTGTACGGTGGCTGAGAAGTGCAAAACACATTTACAATTCAAAAACACATTAACAAATAAAAAACAAAATAACATTTGAAGAAACAAAATTATATTTTATGAAACAAATGTATTTTTGAAAAGTTAAAATTTTTAAAAACAAATTCGCATTTTAGGAAACAAATTCACATTTTAGGAAACAAATTCACATTTTAGGAAACAAATTCACATTTTAAATAAGTTAGATTTTAGTGAGAGAAAGTTTCATTTTAGAGAAAAAAAAATACATTATAGGGAAACAAATTTACATCTAAAAAAAATTGACCATTCGGAAACACTTGTACAAGTGCAAAGACAAAACTGCAAGCAGCAAAACAGTTAAATAGCCAAAAACAAATGAACAAAAGACGGCTACACGGAAAGGGAATGTCCCAGTGGGCGGATGTGACGTCACCATTACCCTGACTTGTAGTACAAACAGCTCAATCTGTAGTCCTCCTGCTTCACGTGAAAAGTCAGCTGCGATTTTAGATGGAAAGAATTGCACTGAAGCTGTTTTTCTTAAGTTTACACTAACCAAACAATGTTTTGCCCTTATTGTGGTCTCTGGAACTTTTACGGGAAACGGACCAGGTGGCAGGACCAAGCAGCAGGGCCGAGCTCAATTCGTGGCAGTGGCTGCGTTGCAGCAGTTCCGGTGGTCCTGCCATCTGGTCCGTGTCCCGTAAAAGTTCCCGAGAGCGTCCGCACGAAGAACAAAATGGTGTAAATTGGCTGAAATTTGCTCCACAATAATAAAATCGCCGCTGACTTTTCATGTGAAGCAGGAGGCCTACAGATTGAGCTGTTTTATGGAAGTAAATATGTGCCATCAGAATTTGAATAAAAAATACCTCTGAAATTTGAATGTTGTATATTAGTGCTTACTTTTTCAGTATTAAAATAAATTCAGAATATATTTTTAACTTTAAAAAAATTCAATGTCATTATTTGTACATTAAAAAAAAATTCAGTGTAATTTTTTTTACATGGTTGCAATTTTCAGTTATTAAAAAAATTCACATTCCTATTTCAAAGTGATAAAATTGTCAATATACATATTTTTCACAGTCTAAATTTTCAGTGTTAAAAAATTCAGCATATAAAAAATTCAACTTTTCAAAATTCAAATGCAATATTTTCGTTGTCCTCCAATTCAACTTGCTCAAATTCAGTGTCTCAAATTCAGCATCTAAAAATTCACTGTAAAAATGGCCAAGGTTACTTCAGGTCACAGACATTAGCAATGGATGTCCGATTCCAACATCCACCTAATCACGTGACACAACTGTCATATTGAAGAAGTACCAGTATCACCCAGGCTGGCGACCATGGAGGCGAACTCAAACCCAACGGTGAGTTTACTGCTTTCATATTTCTGTAGTATGTTTTATTTTGCGCATGAAGTTTGATACATTATCAATATCAAGCACAAATAAATCTACAATTTGGTAGGTAACTGGTATTTTGAATGATGTTGTAATGACAATAAATTTCTTAATTAATTCATAAATGAAGTCACCTAACAATACAGTAGCTGATCAGAGTGGGGTCGGAACTGTTCACAGCCCCTCTTTGAAGCACACAAGGCAGCCATATTAGCTTACTACATTAGCGGTAGCATCTCCTGAAAAATTACAACTTTACTAAGACTGCCTGGAAAAGTACACCAATAAAAAGAAATGGGGGGGGGTGTGTGCTCGGAGGTAGCGAGAAGTAATATGCCGGCACTACACGGTGTAAGATTAACAACGGCCCAAACCAGTGTTTTAAATCGGGCTTTAAGATAATGTATCAAACTTCATGCGCAAAATAAAACATACTACAGAAATATGAAAGCAGTAAACTCACCGTTGGGTTTGAGTTCGCCTCCATGGTCGCCAGCCTGGGTGATACTGGTACTTCTTCAATATAACGGTTGTATCACGTGATTAGGTGGATGTTGGAATCGGACATCCATTGCTAATGTCTGTGACCTGAAGTAACCTTGGCCATTTTTACAGCGAATTTTTAGATGCTGAATTTGAGACACTGAATTTGAGCAAGTTGAATTGGAGGACAACAAAAATATTGCATTTGAATTTTGAAAAGTTGAATTTTTTATATGCTGAATTTTTTAACACTGAAAATTTAGACTGTGAAAAATATGTATATTGATAATTTTATCACTTTGAAATAGGAATGTGAATTTTTTTAATAACTGAAAATTGCAACCATGTAAAAAAAATTACACTGAATTTTTTTTAAATGTACAAATAATGACATTGAATTTTTTTTAGGTTAAAAATATATTCCGAATTTATTTTAATACTGAAAAAGTAAGCACTAATATACAACATTCAAATTTCAGAGGTATTTTTTATTCAAATTCTGATGGCACATATTTACTTCCATACTGTTTGAACTACAAGTCAGGGTAATGGTGACGTCACATCCGCCCACTGGGACATTCCCTTTCCGTGTAGCCGTCTTTTGTTCATTTGTTTTTGGCTATTTAACTGTTTTGCTGCTTGCAGTTTTGTCTTTGCACTTGTACAAGTGTTTCCGAACGGTCAATTTTTTTTAGATGTATATTTGTTTCACTATGTATTTTTTTTTTCTCTAAAATGAAACTCTCTCCTCTAAAATCTAACTTATTTAAAATTGTGAATTTGTTTCCTAAGATGTAAATTTGTTTGCTAAAATGTAAATTTGTTTTTAAAAATGTTAACTTTTTTTTCAAAAATACATTTGTTTCATAAAATCTAATTTTGTTTCTTCAAATGTTATTTTGTTTTTTATTTGTTAATGTGTTTTTGAATTGTAAATGTGTTTTGCACTTCTCAGCCACCGTAGATTTGGACTTAATTACTTTACCTGAATATCTACAGTTGAAATCCAAAGCACGTACAAAGTTACAGATGTTGTTATGCCATGATCCATCAGTGAGCCTGATGAGGTACTCTCAATTGGTGTGGATGACGTTGCTTGTTGAACACTGAATATTTCACTGGCCATTTCATCTTGTCCAACAAAGTCAAACAAGAACTTTAAAAAAAGGGTAATGTAATTTTAGTTACTTTAAAAAAAATAAAAAATAAAATCACATACAATCTCTGAATTAACACATTACCTGAATTGGATCAGACACATTGAATGTTCTCTTTGTGATAAATCCATTTGGATATTTGAACTTCAAAAGCAGTCCAGTTGAGGGTTCTTCATGTACCGCCAGTCTTTGCCGGCGTTCTTCAATTGCCTAAAACATGAGCACTAAAGCTTTTTGGGAATTCATAAGCAACTATCATCCTAACAATGTAACAGTTCTAACCTTTATGCGTCTTTCCTCCAAGGCCTTGTAACACTGTCTTCTCCTTTCCTGGTAGAAAAAAAAATTGTGAGTAACAACAACAGCAACAACAAATGATGATATCAAAAATGGTAATTCACTTTTTCTTGGTCTGCTAACAAAGACTCTTCATAGTCTTGCTGGGACCGCAGAGATCGGCAATCTAGAAGTGTCTATTGTGTAGGGCTGCAACTAACGATTATTTTGAAAATCGATGAATCGGACGATTATTTTTTCGATTAATCGATGAATCGGACACAAAATATTTTTTTTATATTAACCTCTTTATTCCAAAATAAACATTTTAGACAGAACAAACAAGCACACAAGTACAGGTTTCTCATTAACTGTACTGGTGCTATATGAAAAATAAATGTTTGTGTTAAAACTATGCAAACTTACATGAGAAATGTAGCTGTATATCCACAAAATATAGGGTACTTTGTTTCATAAAGCGCAAAAAAATACATTTTTGTTTTTAAAAGCCCCTAAGGGGTTCAAACAATAGGTCCCCCCATTTCAACAAATGAGGTTTTTTTAGACTAGAAGAGTTCTGCCTTTTAAGACAGGAAAGTATAGCAGTTAAAGTTGCTACTTAAGAAAATACTTAACCATAGAGATAAAAATAGCCCTGTGATTCAAATTATAAATTGTATTTGGAAAAAAAATGAGAGAACTAGGGGTGTTAAAAAAACACATCCTCCAAAGACAGATATTTACATGGGAATGTGGCAGATAATTAATTGACATATTACTGATCTTGCTGGATTTTATTCTGCTTTACTTCCATAAATTGCAGGATCTTCTTTACTTTCTTTGCCAGAAGATTTAAAATTTAAAAGCCTTGCCCTCATAATTTGCAAATTTATTTATTTATAAAGAAAATATAAACGCTGCTTAAGCTAATTCAAATGAAATTAAAAGTAAAATAAGAAGCCAACCTTATCACTGTCTGTAACCTACTAACAAGCTAAGGAAAGCATCAGATGAGCTACCTGAGAAACTAACTTACGTTTCCCCACTTTAAAATGAAACAAACATGGTTACTCATCCTGCTGATCAGCTATCTTCACTGCCATTGAAGGCTCCAACGTGTTTTCTTTTCAGGTACTGCGTCATAACAGTGGTGCTTCCGTGCCATGTTCATTTGTTTTTTACAAAAGTTGCATGTTACGACTTTTTTCACTTTACAAAGCGCAGGCTATTTTAATTATTGTGATCAATTTGCGCCGTCAATCCCGGGGCATGCGCGCTTCATTTGCAGTCTGGACGCTGAGGGTAAACTCCTCACTAAAATCCTGCGGCTCGGACTGCACGCTGAGAGGGATTCCTGTGGGAGAGGGAGAAAGGCGTTGGGATGGGGGAGGCGCCCCACGGCAGCAGCTGCCGCTGGAGGACAAGAGTAGGAACGATACATGCTTTCACGTAAGAGTCACCAAAAGCCGCCAGTGACACCGTAAAAAGTCGCCAGATTTGTCGCTAGTCGCTTTTTTAAAAAATAGTCGCTGGAGGGGTCTGAAAAGTCGCTGAGTTGGCAACACTGCAACTGCGGCGCTGACTCGCTCCGCTATATTTTTTTTTCTTCCCCGGGATGACGGCGGCGGCGGATGACGCATTAATCGCGCGACAAAACTAATCGATGATTAAATTCGTTGCCAACGCTTTTAAACGTCGATTTTTATCGATTTTATCGATTCGTTGTTGCAGCCCTACTATTGTGAATACAGCACAGAGATTGTTAAAGTCAACATCAGAAATGAGATAAAAATGTAAAATGCATATATTGTTCTTGAAATGAATGACCTGCTCTTCCCCCAAATTTCCGGTGGTCCTCTCAACCTCTGGAGAGATATTCTGTACTTCTGGTGCAGTTGAGGGTTCTGGAAACAAGGTCCTGGACATTGCTGCTGTTGAGTAGGTTTCCTAGACATGGCAAAGACATTTCAAATTATGATGGAATACAAAATGGTGGATACATCAAATTATTTTTGTGTACAAAAAAAATATACCTGTGACACATCTGCTCGTGGTAGAATGTAGAGTCTGCTTTTGCCAACCTTTTCCTTCAGCTCCCTCACAGAATTCACCTGTACTTTTTTTTACCTTTCGTCCTTTTCCAGCTCTTGCCAGTTCAAAGCCAACCAGATTTAGGCTAATGTGTGGGTAGCTTTGACACACAAAGTTGTTCAGTTCAGACAAGCTCCAATTCAGGTTAATTTTAGAGCTCCTGGTTTCTGTCCCCTCATGCACAGGGTTGCCTGAATAATCAAGGGTGACAAAACAATGTTAAACACAATACCAAAGACCACACCAATTAAGTTTAAATTAGTGCTGTCAGTTTTAAAACGTTAATACGTAAACTTTTTTTTCCCCACCCATCTCTCCAGACTGTTTATTACACTCTGTGCTTTCCGTAGTTTCAAGAACACTAGAGACTAGAGCAAAACTTACCCATGCTCACTGTTGCCAACACTGTATTTCATGCAACTTTGGGCTTCTTTTTTCTAAAGTTGTTTTTAAAATTCACATTAATTTGCACATTGTGTTGACATCAGGGCATCATGATTAATGATGTAGCCATTATAGGCAAGAGTTTAACATTTTATGATACCAATTATCCATTTTTCCATTTTCCATTATCCCAGTTATGAAAATTGCCAGAAAAGTGCTTGAAAAATAAAAAATGCAAATATGTTTTGTATAAGCATGTTTTTTATTAGTATTATTTTTTGAAAAATTGCACATTAAAATGTCCAGACAGGCTACTACACTTTCAGAAATAAAAGGATTAAATATGTAATTAATCTCAAGTTAACAATTGAAATTATGTGATTGATTTTGATATAAAATTTTAATCGTTTGATAGCCCTAGTTTAAATTCATCAGCCCACCAGATAACTCTGGTGAAAGACTAAAATTATGAATTACAACCCAAATAGAGATGTTAAAAGCAAAAGTAACTCCGTCTGTCACATTATGAGGGTGTAAGAAATAATGTAATTTTTTGAAAACATATGCCCACCTAATCCATGGTTCTTCAGTCTTTGTACATCCGAGGGAGAAGGGAGAACGTCAATATTAGGGCCAGAAAGCAAGAAAATGTTTGTCTTCCATACAGGGCTTGGCAGCCTCCCAACCGAACCTGCAGTGAACACAACAGAATCACACCATTGATCCAACATAGAGGATAAATGATATCCTATAATCAAGTGTGCCAACTGGGGTTGCCACTTTCCATAACTTTCACTAAGGAACGCCCACCATGGTTTCTCAGGTAGATATTGAAAATTGTGCAATTGCCAAAGTAAACCACCTTATTTGTTATGTGTTTTTTGGTAATGACGTGATCAACAAAATTACTCATACATAAAAAAAAAAAAAATGTCAATGAAGAACTTACCGAGAGAAACTGGTGTATATAAGGTGCTTTTAAGTAACACAAAAAGTAGGGTTGCCAACCGTCCCTTGAAAAAAGGAATCATTCCGTATTTAAAAATCAAAGTACCTTTCCTGTATTTAGTGTAAAAGAAACACTTTATCCCGTATTACTGTGGGAGTAAAAATTGTAAAAAGCTAATGGAAAATGAACAAGGGCACATTGGATACAAAAATTATGCTAAACTTGTTCCCCTCCCTGTTCTGCATTGTGACCAATGAGCTGACAGCATACATGTAATGATCCAGAATCCCCTCATCCCATTGGTCGAGCCAAGTTTTGCTCACGGAGAAGATAGCGGGAGCAGTATGGGGGACGAAGGAGTCCTGTAAATGCCAATGCTGCTTCTGGGGGCGGTGCACCTTCGCACAGCGATACCCCTCAGCATCCCATCTTCCACTGGTTTTATGGAGAGGATTTTTATCCTTAATGAAGAACAAATGGATTGATGTGCAGAACAAATGTTCCAAGAATTAATTAAAGCTGAGCTCATTGTCAATTATGAACTTTCCTGCTCAGAGTTTTACTCTGCAGCACTGAAAGACAACTCACTGCTGCAAGTGCTCAGAGGAAATACAAGTGGATAAAGTATGCCATCACCACATTATGTGCCATTGAGCTAATTATTATTATTATTTTTTTTTTTTTCAGTTTTACAACTGAAGTCTACGGTCATTGAATTTAAGGCACAAATATGTTTAAAAGTCTGAAGAAGTTTACTGTTGCACCAAAAATATATTATATTTATATATAATATATTAATTTTTACAGTTTGAAGTTAAGCAGGACATGCATGTTTAAGATACTTATTTTATTCAGCAAATTTTGTTATTTTGTATTAAAGTGTATTGCTGGATAATAATTTGTTTTTCCATGTGTTCATGTCACTCACAAATAAGCATTTAATTCAATGCAGATTTTAGTCAAATAGTAAAAACAAATATTTTCACGCACAAAGGGGGGCTAAAACAAAATCCCCACACCAGGAGGGGTGAAGGCAATCAGGTCAGCTGGCATACCATAAGGTGTCCCTTTTTTTTTTTTTTTTCCCCCCCCAGGGAGTTGGCAACCCTAGTAACAAGACATCACCATTTTGAATAAGGTGCTTATAGAAGTTTTACAAATCAAATTAAAAAAATATGTAGATAATCAAAATTGTGAAATTAAAATGTGAAAGCCAATAATTACATTTTTCATAATGAACAAAGACTGCGATGGAGTTGCAACATGTCAAAGGTGTACCCTGCGTATCGCCTGTTGCTGGTGCAAAATGAGGAACAAATGAAATACTCCCACATCGCTTCAATACTGGAGTATTCCATATTTTATAGACAATTCCATATTTTATTTTAATAGGGCGGATGCCAACTCCAGGCTGCTTCAAGTTTCCTAATTAATATTTTCATTATTCCACTAGCACTAAGCTAACTTTGCCAGGAAAGTTACAGTTATATGAACCGACATCTGAACATCTACTTACCTTGACTTCTCTGCACTTGACGTCGAAAAAGTCTCCTTGTTGCAGAGAATAAATTCTCCGTATTTCTTAATTCATGTCGAGCACGAGTTGCAGCACTGAATATAGTGTTAAAAACACGAGCATTTGAGGCGGACTGACCTGACATTGCGGACCACTGAATAGCCGAATCAATTAGCTAGCATGACTAACACCTGTCCGCCAAAATGCTACGCAAATCTCAGACGTTTTTGATGTATGGCAAGATATCACTGATGTCATTGTGACTAGTCAGAATGTCAATTTAAGATATCTTTAATGGAAAAGCTGAATAATTCAAGATATCTTTAATTCATTTAGAGATATCTTAAAAGGAATTTCGAATAGTCGAAATTACAATTCAAGATATCTTTAAATTAGTTTTGTCTAGTCATTATTTGCTTTTAAGATATCTATAATTGAGTTTTCACTAGTCAAAACTGCATATCTCCTATCCTAAAATACATTTAAGATATCTTGAAATATGGTGGCATTTGAGATATCTTTAATTAGAATTATGACTAGTCAAAACTAAAATCGAGATATCTTCAATTTCCTTTATGACTAGTCGTAATTTAATTGTAGATATCTGAAATGTGTATTTCAGATAGTCAGTAATTAATTCTAGATATCTTAAATTGACGTCTCCATACAAGTTAATGGTAAATCTGACGTCATTTCGACTAGTCAGAATGTAATTAGAGATATCCCGAATAGGAATTTTGACTAGTCAAAATATATTTACAGATATCTTAAATCACTAAAACGTCTAGTCATAAAACAATTTGAGATATCTTGAATGTAAAGGTGGAGCAGCCGAATTTATGTTAAAACGGCTTGCCATAATCGTCATGCTATAAGTCTGGTAAAATAGGGTGACCAAACGTCCGTATTTCCCGGGACATATCCGTATTTCACGTCCTGTCCCGGGCGTCCCGGGTTTTTTTTAGAAAGTGAGGAAATGTCCTGATTTCACTGCGCACGACGCTCCGTGTGACGTAATCCCTGAGCCGCGTCAGTGCGGGCAGCCCTGTTCTTAATCAGAGGCTCTGTTCGAAAACCTGGGCTGCATCCTCCATGGACGCGGTCTACCTAGACTGGATCCTTCGAAGTCCTTGAAAATAAGGAGGCCGGAAGAGTTCTGTCTGTAAATTCGAACAGGTCCACCCTTCGGCGGGTTTTACCGACATATGCTCTGTTGCTTAGCAACCGTGAAAGTTGACACACAAAGCAGGAAAAGAATGAATACCGAGGTTTTCAAAACTGTTTGTTTATTTATTTATTTAAAAAAAAAGTTAAAGCCAACAAAGACTACACTCACAAGAATCCAGAGTGGAATAAAGATTCCAACCACCGGGAGCAGGAACAAATAAAATCAAATGTAATGATAGAAACCTTAGTCAGTTAAATAACCTGCTGCTGTCATTCTGCACATCTCTGATGTTGCTGCTATTTTCAAATATCCAATACTGTAAAAATGTCCATAGCTGCATATTGGTTATTAATCCTCCAGTTTTATATTGTTAAAACACTTTACAGTATTTTATTGTTTATATTTTAACTCTTCCCTATTATGTTATTCTTATACATTTTTCTAAGGTCCACATTTGTGTGACCATTTTCAATAATCTTTCTGCTGCTGTAAATTTGCCCATTGTGGGACAATAAAGGGATTTTCTATACTATAAAAGGGTTAGAAATACATAAGTAAATCTAAACAATGTATGTATAAAAATATATCTGCAAAATCTCTAATATTCAACAACAAAAAATACTTAGTTAAGCATATTGTGCAAAACAACAATAAAAAAATTAAACTCCTATCAGATTTATAGTTCCCACTCTGCAGATCTATTAAAATGTGTCCTTAAATTACAGCCAAACTCATTTACACAGTAACAGATAAAAACCTTTAGATAAATCAAATACAACCGCCTCATATCTGACTCAATAACCATTAAAACAACTATTTTCATTCATTTCAGACGGAACTATTCACAGAGTTGTATTATATTAAACTGAACTTCCAATTTTCACCACTGTTCTGCGCCAAGTAACATTTCCTCTGATCACGGAGCAAATCCCGATGATGAGACATTTGTTTATACGACAGAAAAAACTGTGCATTACTGTGAAGTGGAAATGATATTCATTATGTTTAAAAAAAAAAAAAACAAGCTGGAAATGTTGGCATGCATTTGTGTTAAGTTTTCTCTAAGCTGATATCTGGAAGTAAAATCCAAGTAAACAACTGCAATCAGAAGTATTCAGAGTCTGTATGTGTGTAATTTTATCTCAGCACTTGGTAGTCATAAACCACCTCAGACCTAAGAAGTGTAACGCTGTTCTAAATTAGTTATATTATTATGTTTCTAAATGGCTGGAAACCTTGTATAGACAGAGAACTAAATACCTCTGGAGATTGTAATAAAGCAAAGAGATCAATCTTATTAATGTCCGTCTAACTTTACTTTTCTAAAATGTGATAAAGCCAACTTTATACACCAGTTTCATATCTTCTTTCCTGGGTTGAAATTATTTATCTCTGCATTTTTAGGAACCTTTGTCGATAAACCAGATTCCTTTTACATCTTATTTGTTGTTACAACAAAGATCAATATCACATGACATAAACTAAAACCATCTTTGATTTGTGCAGATTTTACATGGTATCGTGTAAAAATTGCTTCTGTAAAATTGGTCAGTACTTGTCTTTGTGAAGTTCTATAATTATTAAAACCTAACATCGAATTTGCAAAACTACACCAGAGATGTCATTGGCAAACATTTCCTGTTTTTTTTAATGTTAACTGTATTTTGAACTGTTTATATTTACCACCAATCAAGTTTTTCTGATTCAGAAAAAAAAGGAAAGTTAAAAAGAGCATCTTAGCTTCTTCTACTGATTTTAAAGGTAAAGTAGCAGCTAGTTAAAATCATTTTATTGAGTTATAATCAGCAAATGTGACCACCTGTCTAAAGCCTGGACTTCTTTGTTGTTTGATGGGTGTATATAGTTTATATAGAAGCACATGGTTGTATATTAACAGAATATTTGCAAAATAAAGGAAAAAAAATCAACATTGACTTCAGAGATGGAACTGGTTCTGCCATGAAATCTATGAAGAGTTTTAAAGCATGAATGACTTTGAATCCATCACTTAAAGCTACAGTGTGTAACTTTTAGCGACATCTAGCGGTCAGACTGCAGACT